AGCACACTTTTTCTTCTTCGATAGTGTATATCAGTGTTTTTCAAACTTGGCAACTTGAAGAAGTGTGGACTGATGGCTGGGGAATTCTGGGAGTGGAAGTCCACCCGTCTTAAAGTTGCCAAGGTTGAGGAACACTAATCTAAATCAATTTGCAAAATTTAGCAGCAGGGGTCTAATTCAGAATTAACTTGCTCTAACCCAGTGTTTCTTAAGCTTGGCTACTTGACGTCCACTCCCAGAATTCCCCAGCCATCAGTCCACACTTCTTCAAGTTGCCAAGTTTGAAAAACACTGATATACACTATCGAAGAAGAAAAAGTGTGCTTGGAGCTATCGTCTGCAATAGCGTGACCTCCAAGCTGAGGTGGTTTTGGTTTTATCACCTTTTTATCCTATTTTTATTCTATTTTAACTGATATTTGTTTGTTGTTTTTACTGTAAACCGCCCAGAGTCCCTTCCTGGTGAGATGGGCGGTGTCTAATTCTGAAATATAAAATATAAATCAAATCAATAGCCGACGGCAGAGAAAATTTTTTCATTACAAGCAACCGTTTGGGAGGGGGGCCAAATTTAGCCAATGCATGTCTTTGCATGCTTTTACTGCTGAGAAATGAATTACGGATTTTGCCACCGAAAGGGCTGCAAGGCTTCAAGTTGTTTGCGCCCTCAATTCCTGCGGCCGAGCGACGGTTCCCCCAGCGGTGGTCATCTCTCGTTCCGGTTCTGGCCGTGGCTGCCTTGCGCAACTGTCTTTGAAAACGGCCTGCAAGTTTCAGCTGGTCCAGAACAAGGCAGGGAAATTCTAGCCAGGAACGTGGCGATCCAATCCCCGAAAGGCCACATTTTGCCATCTGCACCGGGTCCCAGTCTCAATTCAAAGGGCTGCTAATCAGCTTTCATGGCAAGGAGCCCAGGAAGACAAAAGATGGCTATCTTTATTTTATGAGCTCCCAACCAGAAGACGAAACGCCCTTCAGATGGAACCTGTACATTTTCCCAAGCTTTTTGTTCTGAAAAACAGGCTGGAGTGCTGTTAGATCTTGGCTGCTAGACCGGCTGATCTGATGTTAATGAGGTTTAATGTATTTCTAATCTTACCTGTCTTCTGCATTTTAGAATTGTCTGTCGTTTACATTTTTTAATGGCAAAAATATTAATGGGAAGAAGAAAAATGCTGCCAAAAATGATCTAAGTACTGTACATATATTTGGAGGGGACAAATCTTCACTGAACAATATTTACCTTTACAGCTAGTTCAGGCCAAGTTTTCATTTATTTTTTCTGCTTTTTTATATTGCCTCATCACAGATGACTCAAAATTGATTACAGTTTGAGTTATGCAGCATAAAAATCAAGTTTCCAAAACAAGAGTCGTATTATATCACTCTTATCATCACGGCAGTCAGCAAACACTTATTTTTCCTTTATTGACCCATCTCTCAGGGAGAATGAAAGTTTTCTCATTGCTTTCCTCTTGTCAGATAAGAAACCTCCCATTACTAATAATGTAGCCAAACTCTGTTCAGAAGCAGTCAAATTCTGTAAAAGATGATAACTAGGACTGGATAAGGTCAAATGCATTGTAGTTTTTTCTTTTTAACTGTTTGAATATTTTAATTTGGTTAAGCTTAAATTTAACTTTATTGCTGTTTATTTGAATGGCTCATTGATCCAATAAATTCTGTCAAATTATTGCATTTTGTATAATTTTGATATCATAATAATAGAATGCTAGTTTAACAACACAGTACAGCGTCCTCTTCTGTTCTTGCCCCCTGGAACACAGTCATTAACTAACAGGCAATAACTAATCTATGGAGTTATAATGGATTTTAACCCATTTATTTGTTTAAGCCTGAATTAAAACGGCTGGGCCCCACGTTTTGTGTGCAAGAGTTTGGTGATTACCATAATCTGGCCCTGTTAGGCATGAAACTGGGTGAGTCACATCCCCCCCCCCCAAAAAATACCCAATGCATCTTACAGTATATACCTTACAGCATTCAGCTGTGGAGCCAACAGCAAAATAGCCTTTAATTCTAAAGGCTGTGTAGGAGTGAGAATAATTGCAGTTTTGTTAGTACTGCGTGACTCGCTCATTTGCCAAATCTCTCTTCTGCAGTATTAAGGGCTCGGAAGTAGAGGACACCCCAAATTTTGCCATTCCCCAAGGTTTTGTTGCAGACCCCACCTGTAATTAGAAGGCTATGTGCTCAATTTTATTTATTATATCATATTTATCTCTATTTATGTATATAAATATAAGAGCACAACCCCCTCTTCCACCCAGGTGCAGTTCCAAAATTAATGCTAGTACTAATCAGATGCCACCTGCTTTTCCTATTCATGCGTCTTTGGGAGCCCCCGTCCCACCTTGCACCCCAGCCTTGTCCACCGCCACCATCATGCGTTTGCTCCCGGCTTGACTTCACAGGCTAGCCCGTACGGAGCTCCCTGCTCCATCCTTACGCTCAGCCGAGAGACCTTGTCTTGATCCGGGTCCAGTATTTATTAACGGGGCTTCCCAACCTGCCATTCTCGGAACTCTCTGCGCTTCCTGGCAGCTGGAGGGTTGGGGAAGGGTCCTTTGGAGACTTTCCCCTTCCAGGAAGAAGAGGGGGATACAGGCTATGGCTCTCTCTCTCTTCTCCCAACGGCCCTGTGAGGTAGTCAGGGCAGTCAACTCTCCAGGCGACCTGATGCCAATGCGCGGCTTGGTTTGCCCACGTTAAGACAACGGCAACTTCCACAACACGCCAAGCCAGAAATTAACTCAACGGAGTTAGTCCCGCTTTGGTGCGTTGTGGGAATCCAGCGCCTGCGTTTCAAAACAGAGCCGAAATTCCAGAAGGGAGAGAGGCACCTTCACCTGACGAATTCCCGACTCCAGCTCTAGACCAGAAGAAAAGCCACCGAAGCCTGCAAAAGGCAGCCTGGGCCACCCCTGAAAATTGCCCCAGGTTTGCCCGTCGCTGCCCCAAATTTCCAGTCCTGCCAATCCTTCGGCCTCTTCGGGGTGAATCTTTGGTTTCCCGGCCAAATTCTGTTTTTCGCAGGGGCAGAAATTCAAGGAAGCCCCTCCCGCCTCCATTTTTGAGCAGGCAGACATTCTCCAGGAAAGCTCTCAGTGACAAGCTTCACTAAAGGAATCCCACCCCTTAAGCAGTCATGCATCAGGCAGAAATTCAGCAGGACCAGGGTCCCCGTTCAGCAGCGCTTCCACTTCGGGAAAGAACTTCCTGCAGCCCCAAACCAGGCAGAAATCCCACGGGGCGACCCCCCACCCCACTTCCGTCTTACCTCTGCAAAATATGGGACGCGGCAGGCAAACACTCAACAGGGACAGCTGCCTTCCCCAGCGTCAGATCCAAACGGGGGTGGGGGTCTGCCCCTGTTGAACTTCCGCCTGTCCTGCTAGGAAATAAAGGGGTAGC